TAGCGGTTATTTCTTCGTTTTTCTTTCTCCAATCAAGGACGATTCTGGTTCGTTCCGAAATTCAAATCGGTGACACCCCCCTATCGCCTACCGCGCCGAACGATTGGAACAACGAAGCGGAGTCTACGGTACTCGTACGTACAGGACTGACCACAGCACAGTGACCACAACACCGCCGAGTTCTGCATCATCACCCATAAATTTTTCGCAAAAACTGCCGCAAACGCGCTTCGGCATTTTCTTTCGAAAAACGAAACCGTGACAGGCAGCTACAAGTACCGTACGAAGTGCTTCGAATTCATTGACAACCAACGAACCCAACCAACCAACGAACCCAACCAACCAACCCCACCAAACAAAGAAAGAAAGATCCTGCCAAAGAAACCGTCCCTGCCTTACCGACCTTTTCGATTCCGTACTCTTTCCCAAGGCCACCGGGGCAATCCGAAGCGACACGACACGACACGAGGTGTCACGACGCAACGCAAGGAAACGAAACGCAACGCAACGCGATGGAAGCCACCCACCGGCATCCGCCKGGGAGCCGCCGGCGCCCGCGACGCAAGAACGGGCCACCGGCCGTTGCGACCCGGTCCCTCGCTGCCCTGGCGGTCGCCCTCTCGTGCGTCCGGCGGAAGGAGGGCTTCCCCGGCGGGTTTCTGTTTCGCCCTTCCAACGCCCTCTCTTTCCCCAGGCCCCTCCGGACGTCCCCGGCCCGATCAAGGGCGTCGCTCTTTCTCTTTTCGCTGAGGAACGGCAGCGACGGCGAGGGCGACAAAGACAGCGGCGGTGACGGCGACGTCGTCGGCAATGTCGWYGGCAATGTCGAGAACGGAAGAACGACCACGACGACGGCTACCGTCGAGCGCTCGGGCCTTCGTTCCGGGGAGGACGCGGAAGACTTTGTGGCCTGGATGGAGGGCCTCAAGCTCGGGACGCCCATCGGAAAGCTGGCGTCCCCACAAGAGAACGGAAGCGGCAGCAAACCAACAACGACAGCCRCACCACGAGCCTACGGAACACCGAGCAGCACCCTTGCCAAAACACCGGACAAGGATGCCGGCATCGAAAAGGCAAAAGCGGCGGTTCTTCCAGCGGGAGAAGGGGCCGGCAGCGATCCGGAGGAAAMRGGCCGGACCGCGGGCCGGACCACCGCCGCAACGAGGATCCCGAACGGCGTCGGCCTCCGCAACCCCCTCTCGAACCTGATCCAGTTCGAGGCCATGCTGGAGCTGRCCCGGATCGCCGGGTCCGGGGAGGACGACGAACGCGGAAGCGGCGACGCCGGGAAGARGACGCCGCCGAGCCAGCCAGCCGGGAGAGACCGGGCGGGCGGCAACGCCTCGGACGTCTTTGCGGTCGTCGACAAGCTCTTCAAGACCTTTCGGACGCAAGAGGAAGCCAAGCAGCAACAGCAACAAAAGCTGCAACAAACACTGCCGCAAACGACCCCGAAGGAACAGCAAAAAGAATTGCTGCWGCTGGCACAGCTGGAGAAACAGATACCGGACACCGGCAGCAGCARCAGCAACAACAGCAAAATCAAAGAAACAATCACCAAAGCTCCGGAAGCAGGCAAGGACCCAGCCAYGAACCTGGCCGAGGAGGTCAGCAGCGAGACCACCGTCCAGGATCTCATGGACCTGGAAGAATACGTCGGCACCCTGAACTTTAAAAAAGTCAGCAACATCTGGGACACCTTCAGCAGCAAAGACGAGAGTCCGTTGGAAACTACCGGTCTCGCAGAGGCCGAATCCGTTGGCGAGGAAGAAGAAGAGGATCCTCCGGCGGCGGCCGCGGACGCTTCCTCCTCGGTGCTCTTTCGAGAAACCTACGGRCCTCCCACCAAGCCAGAGCCGAACAGCCTGGTGCAGGCCGCGGAGGGAATCCTCAAGGACACCACCGCCAAGATGGAATACCTGGTGGAAGAGGCCTCCCCMACCGGGAACGCCACGGTTTCMGCTTCCACCACCAGCGGGGGCACGGGCCTCTCCCTGCAGGACCTCGTCGGCAGGGCCAGCAGCGTCCTGGACGTCGAATCCATCTCGAGCGAGATTGTYTCCGCGGCGCAAAAAATCGCCAAGGAATCCGGCGTCTCGGACTTCAACGTCCAGTTCGCCGCCGATCGGGCCCGGGAGGCCACCGAGTTTGCCGTGGGGGTGGCCACCGCCGCCAACGCGGTCCTGGATGCGGGGTACGCCTACGGCTCCCGGTCGGGGGCCGCGGGCATGACGGCCAGAGACAACGATCCCAACTACGTCCTCGCCGCGTCGGCGGCTTCCCAGACGGCCGGGTCGGTCCTCGCGGCCCCAAGCGGGGAGGCCTCCGATGGTTCGAACGGGGAGGGCCAGGCCCACCAGGCCCCCCTCTTCGGGGCCTTTGCRTCCGCCCAGCGGATCGAGCCCTACGAGTACGGGAACGTGGTCTACCAGGGAGCCGAGATGGGCTCCCTGGCGGGGGTCATCTACGAGCAGCACGCCGAGGGCTGCCACGGGCTGGGACACTCGCTGGTGGCCAACGGCACCACGGCCAACGTGGTGTGGATGGTGACGGATTCCGTCATGGATCCGGACCGTTTGTCGGAAGCCTTTTGCCACCACGAGGACGACGGGGATTCTCCCGGGGCATCGGCGCTTCCGCGGGCCGGGCCCTCCCTGGTCCGGACCATCACCATCCGCGGATTCGACGCGTCCGACGAGAACGTCGACCGGGAAGAACTCCTCAAGAACATTTGCCTCGCCACGCCCGAGGCCCTGGACGACAAAACGGCCGACAGGGTCGTCTTCCACAAGGGCCTACTGGACATTGCCAGGGAGATCTACGCCGACACGAAGCACTTTATCGACTGGGTCTCTCCCGACTACAAGATCGTTCTGAACGGACACTCGGTGGGGGGTTCGCTGTCGGTGCTGATGCTCCTCTTGCTGACGAGCGATCGCGGTGGTGAGTGATTCCGTTGCCGGCACGCGTTGTGCATTGATTGCTCTGCTGTGTCGTTGTTCTTGTTTGGTTGGGAACTCCGCCACTGCTTCATCGCTGTTGTTCTGAGGACGTCCGTGTTTTTTTTTTGGTGGTATGGAACCGTGCATTGTATTGTATTCCGATTCGTACCAACGGTATTTCATTTGATTCTCGTTTTCGCTCTCTCTGTCTTGCTCTTGCCGGGGTGCAGTTGGCTTTGTCCGGGAYCGGATCCATCGGGTTTACTCRCACGGAAGCCCGCCGATTGCAGCGCTCGTGGACAGCGCCGATTCTGRAGAGCCGTCGAAATTTGGAGGCACGCAGCAATGCCCCATCCTCGATGCCTTCGATCTCCCCCCCTCCATGGTCTATGGCTTTATCCAGCCCTACGATCCCGTCGTGAGGCTCTTTAGCGACCACGACGTCCTGTATCCTTTGGTCGACGACCTGGGAGCCGATGGGATCACCCTGTACGCGTCGGGCCCCATACGGAGCCTCCGACCCATCACGCGGGCCATCTTTCAGGCCTGGAACGGCTGGCCGCAGTTCCGGGACAACTGGAAGGGGACCTGCGACACGCAATACCACAGCGTCGGCATCCAGCACCTGCTGCTCCCCGATCCGCTGCGGTATCTGAACGATCGCTTCATTTCGGTCAACGTGGGGGTTCCCCCCGTGGACGCCATTGTTCGGATAGCCCCGCGGGACCTCCTGCCGGCGCTCGACCAAACCTTTCCCCTGGACACCTTTCAGGTCAGCCTGGTTCCCCAGGCMGTGCGCAGCTTTTTGCACCATTTCTACCCGGCCTACGATTCCTCCGTTRTCGAGTAYGCGACCAAGCTGAAGCAGGAAGCGGAACCGGTTGCCACGAAAAAGAGCCGGGCCTTCAAGCCCTTTCTCACCACAAAATCCTAGGACAACGCAAGATGGCAACCAAACCACTTCTCGAACAAATCTCTTCGATCGACCAACGTAGTATTCGTGCTTTTCGCTATTTTCAATAGCACTTTTCCCATTTGTAGTATTAGTATCGTACGGTAGTGAAACAGAACCGTGACTTAAACCTAGTATGTACGGTACGTACGTACCCATGTATCTACCGTATTTGTCTACAATATCCATGGATTATTTGGGGTTGTAAATTGTAAATTCAGGGGATTTCCGAGTTTGTACTCTCGCTTCGGGGACTCCTAAAACGTGCTACCTGTATGTAGTACTACGGTACAGTACGTACTGTACTGTACGAGGATGATAAATACATCGACGAGCATCGCCAATCGCTATGGATTGAAGAAAGGAATGGATCAAGAATATTCAGTCCTGTAATAAATAATTGTATACGTGTTAAAAATCAATACGGTAATGATAGGTTCAAACACCAATGCTGTACGATTTTTCGACCTCGTGGTCTAGAAAAAAATATGAAAATGGAAAGAGAGAATCTGTATTCTAGAACAACGTCACAGATTGTGATCGCGCAGGACATCATTTTTTTTAATGTATTTTGTTTTTAATATCAAAATGATATTTTCAAAGTGAAAGAAAGAATAGTGACATAAATTTTACAATCATTCTTGGTTTTGAATTCGTTTCGAAGACTTATTATTATSGATGATTGATATAAGCCTATTATGAGAAAAAAAAAAGACGTTGAACCAAAGTATCAATGATTAATAAATGACGATGAGAAGAGTCAGTCACATTTAATATAACATCCTTTATTATTACTGTAGATATTTAATTGGTTTCATTGATTTCTTTATTTATGTGACTGACTCAATTTTTTTGTTCATCGTAATCGAGTGATCCACGATGCACTATTACTATCGGCACCGCTACGAACCGATATGAATGAAGTAGTAGAACTAACTGTTGACACGGTGACAATGACTTGACACCATTCTACTCCCAGAGGAATAAAATTATGTTCCTCCTTGACATCGTTTTTTACTAGGAGGTAAGGAAAATGAACCATTAATCATAGATCATCGTTGTGGCAAGCTATGGAGCAGTCACATTGTAGTACTTTGATCAGTTGACCGTTGAATATTATTGCAATTCGTTGATTTCATTATTTCACCCCATGGCAGTACAAAAGAATGTTTATCCTTGATGCCTGCGACGGTTTTTAGTCTTTTTCTTTGTAGCCCCTAGATGATTTCTCATTCTAATGCAATATTTAATATATTWTTACAGTAATATGCATCACTTCAAAGTGTAAAAAATGAATGAGTGCATGCTAGTCTGGGCTGAGATCAGAAGTCTTCGATGCTTTATTAGATTACCATTCCATATCTGAGGATCGTATCGGTGATGCATCGGCATCTTCTCCCTCTACAAGGATTCCGTCTTCGTTTTCATCCATCATGAACGCATTTTCCTGGCTTGAAATTGTTACCGAAAAGGGGACCGCTGTGGTCATGTCCACAACATCCCGGTCCACGGACATCGTCGAAGCCACTTGAGCCGGTGTGTCCCAAAATCCATTCGGATCGTCTTGTATCGTTGCCGTATCTAAGTCGGTAAGGGAGTTTGCTTCCTCTGCGGAGAGAACAAAGTCGTCCACAGTCACCTCCATCATGCTCTGCTGATCAGCGTTCTCGGTTGCTTCGATGATTACGCTCTCTGTATTTTTCGGAGGAGAGTTCGCAATAACCAAACTGTTGCTCCAGTCCACGGATTCCGTGAGTCTCATTCGTTCTTTGATCTCGTGATCCGTTTCAGAGATGGGGTAGGGCTGGGGCAGTAAGCTGTTTGAGCTATCGCTCCTCGCAGACGTGTTGGCAGCAGCTTCAGTCTGAAACGGCGTTCTTGACGAGGTTCTTGTGATGCCAGTTCTTGATTTTGTGGTCGGTATGTGAATCGCGTTCTTCAAATGCTGTGATGATGAGAAAKATGATGATGGGGATGATCTTGAGACTTGCTCTGCTTCGCATGCTCGTTCATTGATGGTATGGTCTTCTATTCTTCCGATGGATGCCTCCAAATTGATTGGGTTGAACATGGCTGAATCTGTTGTAAGTGAAGACGATAATGTCATGGTGGACGTGATATTTGCTTCTTGATTCTTGGACGTTCTTGTGAATAAAGATGTGTTTTTGTTTGTATGTTCTATGTGAGTATGTGTGAGCGACTCTGATCCCAAAAAAGTACCGTTGTGTCGTGGATCGAAGAAAAAGTGAGCAGAGTTCGTAATTTTCTTTGGTCATAGACGAGGAGCCGAGCGTTTCCACAGCGTCTGACTCCTGGACAAAAAATGAACCGCGGTGCAGAAATATCATTCGTTGAACGTCCTACAAAGCCATGTCGTGACACTCCTTACCCCTAATTACTTARAGTATTAATTTGTTCAAGAGGGAATCCATGTTCATCCCTTCAATGTATGCGCCCTTTGCGAATCGAACTATGTGAATCGTAAAGTAGTAAAAGTACACTAACGAAATCAAAACTCTTGAGCGATCGTTTTTTTCGAATGATTCTGTATGACRTTAAGGTGTGACCATAATCAATGAACCGATTGCTTACGAGTGAATTTGATTCCATTGTWWACGTACATTATATATCCAGTGAAGTGTACTTCATTGATAAAAAAATGGAGGGGTTGAGAACCATAGCGATAGGACGCTTGAATCGATTCTATTCGCCAAACAGTACCTCAATTTGAACCGTCTAATAAATAATAATAGTAACGGAGTAGGAACGGAATAGGAATCGCAGAAAGCAGTACCGTACGTCGAAGCCAGSATTGGTATCAGTCATGTGTCTTGTGAGCAATGACTGAAAAAAGTATTACGGGCGATTCATTCGCACTCAACGTAAGCAGTACATCCGTTAGTACGAACAATCGGTACAGTAAACACGTGTCCTTGACATCACGTAAAACGGTTGCGTAGAAGTAAAATAGGAAGTATTTTTTCATTGACGATAGAGTATTATGCTACCGTATGAATACGTAGGCTTCAGAACACTCTCGTAAAAATCAGTACTACTTATTTGTTTACGATCCCGCTTACTTGCGCACTTCGATCGTGGCAATGATTTTGGCGGCGCTCCGGATGGCCGGCATTGGCATTTAACAAGAAATGCTTTTTAAAGTACCAAAATACACTAAGTGCGAGAACCATTCTCGTCTTCGTGCCAAGATGGAAGACACGCTATCTAAGTCATGGAAGGCTTCGCCTTACAGAAGAGACATTCCGGAATAGAAAAGAGTCTCAGAGATCGCCTTCGTTCCGTACGATAAGGAACACAGCAAAATACCAGAAGTAGTGCAGTCAATTGTACTGTACCGTAGTACTTTCGTCACAACGTCATGGCGCCAATCTGGTGGAATTCCTCACACAGTGTTAAACAAAGTATCAATCAAAGTACAAATTATAGTCCGGGAGCTCTGGGTCTTGCACCAGCAGCTGCATTTCGATCTTTGCGATTTTTTTAAGTGTTGAAGGCTGCTATCAACGATTGTTGGTACCGTAAATATAGGAGCAACTAACGAACACGGTGCCCTACCATTGTGAGGTATCGGTTCGCATCGTACGACTCTTTCCTTCGCGGCAAACCGAACTTTTCGGAGCGAAAACATGGCTTGGTCTCCTAAGAGTTCATCTTTGTGTTGGTAGAGGAGCGACAGCGAAGCTTTACAGTCACTGCGCTGTGCCTGGCATGCACGGTGGAGTAAATCACTTTTTCTTAGTTTAAACCTCGTATGCATGCATCCTTGTAGTCGTCTTCATCGTAACTACTCCTTCAACTTTTCTTAACAGATCCTAGTTAGGCTGGTCTGCTCGACATTCGAATCAAACGGTTGTGATTCACCTTCGTACGATGCAGACGGTAGGCGAAGATCCTAGTAGTCCTCCATCGAAAAACAATTGGCTTTTCTCGTGCTGCTTAGTTTGGAAAAGAATACGGTTGCTGTCTTCGAATTGATCAATGCATGAAACTAATTTTCTAAATACAACATTCGCAATTTGATCGAAAGATTAAATAATAATTCACACGAGGCACTGTGACACAAAGTGACGTGCAATCGCAATACATCAATCCACCGGCATTCAAGACGGTTTTTGTTAGTTCCTCTACAATTGGTAGCTCTCATGGGGATTGATCGATTCGCCCATCCATCTATCCAGTGACTCATTGACACAGTGCGCAGTGGTATAGACCAAACTACTATGAGCATTAAAAGACTACAGTGCGCCCGTTTCCGTGACTACTTGTTTTCGCATCTTGTTGAACTTCCAAGTTTTGTCCCCTGGCCTCTTGCAACCACCGACGGTGCGCCATGCAATCAAATAGGTGGCGCCACCACGCTCCCGGCGTGTGTGTTCTTGATAACAACCTACCCGCAGCTGGTTTTTCCATGCCAACTAGAGGCATGTCCCGTTGAGGCGGCACTGAAATTGCGATGTTTAAAGTGGATTTGCATTGCAGGGAGAAGGCCATCCTTCTCGATTGTATGGTACCACTGGGGACCGGGATAAAGCCATTTGTTCGTTCTTCCTGCGGAAGGAACAGCACAAAACGCATCGTCTTTTCTTTATTTCGTCATTGATTCGTTGTCAACTCAACCACCATTGTAACGAGCAAAAGCGGGGAGAAGTTCCCTGCCCAGTGTTGGCCTAGGCGTGCACCATTGCTGGAGTTTTCTTGCTGGTTTTTGCGTCTTTCATTTATAGTTTTCCCAATCTTCACGGCGCGAAAGCTGGAACCCCGGATCTAGCACCCGCCACAACCAGCAACAACTGCGACGCAACGATGCAACGATGCAACGTTGCATATTCCTCGCCAAACACGATGGAAAAACTGTTCCGTGGTTGGACGGCCGATTGTTTTGCCAAATCGCATTCCATTGCATYCCCGCATTCCATCACAGCCCGGCGGATTCAAGGAAACCCTCGCTCCGGGAATCGATTGGTTCGTCACCCTCTCCCGTTGGGAGCCTGTAGCACGTGGTGGAGCAGGCACAGCAGCTCGAAGCGCTGCAGGTCCACCAGTTCCAGGCACTCGGCGTCGCTCAGTTCGTTTTCGCTCCCCAATGGCCCGCGGTCACCCCGCAGCTGCGACTCGCGCCTCCGGCACAGCTCGACAAAGGCGAGGTCGTCCCACTCCCCCCTCCCCAGCTCCRCCTCCACGGCGGTCCCAAACCCCGGGATGTTGTGCCGGTACGGGGGGCTTGCGGTTCCCGGGCCCAGCAACCGCCGTCCCTCGCACAGCAGGGGGGCGATCCGCGGGGCCGACTCCGCCAGGAGCTTGCGGACGGGGTGAGAGGGGTCCGGGCGGTCCAGCCGCTTGGCAGCGCCCCCCAGGAACCAGTGCTTGGCGTTGTCGTACCCGGTGGCGCCCCCCTCCCCCTTGGAAGATCCCTCGAGGCGGTGAACGATGGCGTGGATCCAGTCCGCCGTGGCGTCCAGCGGATGGTCCCTCGCCCAGGTYGTTTGGCCCGGGTGGGTCGCCGCGTGCTCGGCCGCTTCGAGCTCGCGGGGGGTTACCCCGAGGACCAGCTCGTGGGCGGCCTCGAGGTGTTCGCCGAGCACAAAGAGCAGGGCGAGGGCCTTGTGGTCGATGGGGTGGTTCTTTTCCGCGTTGCTCGGTGCCAAAAAGCGGCACAGGAGGTCGTTTTGGTTCTKTGAGAGCGAGCGTAGCGACGAGGTACCACGGAATATGCCGTAGTTCATGGGAAGGGGGGAATCGCTCGAGCGACCGAAGGATTCCAGGGGGATGGAATCGAGGAATTCGGCAACGCGGGAATCGGTTTCGCGGATGCTCTCCACAATTTCGCTAGTGATTCCGCGGTTGTGATTTGTCTCGATGCTTCTGTTCTTGTCACCCAAGTCGCGAGAAAGTCCGTTGGGGCCCCGAAATGTTGTTGAGGTGCTTGCGATGCTTCGAAGCGGCTGCTGTTTCGTCGCGAACGAAGAGGAGGGCGATGAAGCCAAAAGAAACACAATCGCAGATGCTGTGATGGATCCGAGAAGATGACGGTGCATCTTCATGGTCTGTGTCGGTACCTTGAAATAGCTTCAAATGAATACAGATCGCACGGTGGCCTTTGTTAACAGCCTTGTCTTGTCTTGCCATGGTAAACAAACTCTGATGCCCGTTGTCGGTAACAGTTTCGTTGTTTCGTTCCTTTCGGTAAGAAAAGATGATGCTAGCTTTGCACCGCCCAGACACGAGCTGAAATAGTTCTAATTAAATTACAGAGTCACAACTATCGGGATTGAATCAAACGATTGAATCGAATGAAACATCCCGAAGAATGGATGAATCTTTTCGTCAATTTTTTGTTGTCACGTGACCGTACTCGTACTCTTAGTACTCGTCGAAGCATTCGTGACGGTACCAAGACGATGCAAGGCAAGAAAGAGTCATTCGGAAGGAAACGCGAAATTCTTCAGATTCTTCAGAATACGGTACGACTGCCGTGTTGAGATCTATTCGGCGACACATTTGTATTTCACTTCAGTTTGCACTGTATGTTCACTCCAGTCGGTGTACCGACTCGTCCATCCATTCTACTTTCCTCAAAACACAGATGGACAGTGCAAACCCACTCGATTGGAATCAAAATGACTKTSAAGAAGACTCTGGCAATGGATCTTGGTTTCCTGGCATTGCCAACCTATGACCCGAACACAATGACCGGAATCCGTGACAATGGATTCCTTTGATGATTGATTCTTTCCGAGACCAAACCACAAGACAGGAAATGCATTTTCTGGAACTAGTCTTCCAAACAAGACATTGTGTTGTGGCATGCCGCTTTCGTCGCTTGCGGCTTCCGGATCACCGACGCAATAGACGGCACGTTCAAACCGATCGAAGACAATCCGATTCGCCATCGAGACGTCTCTGATCCAACTAACACGAAGAAACAAGCGAGAAATCCAAACAAGAAGGCCAATGCATAGTCACAGGCTGGGTCGTCGAAGATGATGATAAAGGGKATGAACGTCCKATTTTCATTTTTAAACTCAGACCAGCTGRAGCGTRTAACAACAAGAAAGCCGAATTAGCTCAGTTGGTAGAGCGCACGACTCTTAATCGTGTGGTCGAGGGTTCGATCCCCTCATTCGGTGGTGCTCTTACTGAGCWTGTGACATTGTGGCCGAGCGGTCTAAGGCGCAACGTTAAGGCCGTTGTCTTAATTGGCGGGGGTTCGAATCCCCTCGATGTCACTCTTTTTTCAACTTTTGAGTGATCGCAAGCGATGTGCAACTTGGAGTACGAGTACTGTAGTAGGCATTTCGTACGAAGTAGTCTATGATCAATCCCGATTTATCAAGATAGTATGTCATACCGTATTGTAGTGCTATCCAAATGAATCGGAAAGTGAGAGAAAGATATCAGAAATATTTCTAGAAGTACTTTTTATATTTTTCACGTACCGGTGCTTCACCCCTCGTCAAGTGATCATCACATCCATGCGTTACGTACCAAGTACCGTGCGGGTGTCAATACTCGACTTGTAGATAGTAGGTACGAACGGTAGTACGAGTTCCTGTAAGAACGTTTTCCTATTTTTCTTTCCGAATGATTTTGTAGCACTCTTGCCGTACTAGACTTGGCTGATGCATTCGTACTGCAGGCTCATCATTCATACTCCGACCACAATGTTCATAAAATCATGATGCTACMAAAAAATGGCCTCCTTTTCCGGTTCAAAGATGAGGAATTTTATCGCACCTTAGGCGCGCATTTTTTTGAATTTCCCATGTGYATGGTTATTCAGCTGGTTCTTTCCCCATCGGCGCGAAAGCTTGTTTTTAGGAGCTCCCTGCTCGAACGCTCACAAATTCAAACACGAAACATGACCCATGTTTTCGTCAGAAATCAATACCGGAAGTGATGTAYCGGTAGGGTAGTGTATTCTTGCGACCTCTCGTAAATCCTGCCGGAACGTTGCTGTGGCTGAGTTACTCCGTTTCGGAAATAGCCTTCGAAAATTCTACTGCATCTTCAATTACACTTCTATTTTGTYAAAAAACAATCGCAAAATACAGAAACATACCGGTGCGGCACGTTAACAGCATTCCAAAAAGAATCGACTATGAACCTTGGAAAACCCAAAAAAAAATAGATAGACAGTGGAGCGACAGATACGATTGCCTCGAGTCGAATCGAATCGGTTCAGAATTTCAATCGAGGACCCCCACCATGGTGGATGTGCAGCGAGTCGGCGCACAACGGTCCTTGGCACCACAGGCGGCCCTTCCGAGGAAAGCGCCGTCGTCGAAAAGCCCTCAGCAGCAACCACCGCAGACTCGCGACAACCCGTTTGCCTTGAGCCACCCGCTCGTGTACGCGGTCCGGGTCGAGGACCGTGTGCGGGGGCTGGGTGGATTCATCCGAGACGAGATAGCTCCCAAGGTTTCGCGGTTGCAAAGGGAACATGGGTGCATCGAGCACCAGCTCCAGCAGCGGACGGCAATGATGATTGGAAGCAACAACCAAACGACGAGCAGCTCGAAACAGAAGATGAAGCACCAGGCATGGCTGTACAAAAGAACCTCGAAGAAGCGAGAACTGAATCGAATGGAAACCTTTCTTGAGCTAGCGACCAATTTGTACAGGATATCGAACGAGCTCAATCCAGCCATTTTATACACTACCGTCCTGTGGCAACGGAGTCAATCGATTGCTCCCCGCGACTTTGTTGCTGCGGAGGTCGACAGGGACGTGGTCTGCTGCGATTCCAACAGCAACAATAGCAGTGACAACGATTGTGAGCGTCGCCGGTCCGAGCAGCGGCGATTGCTGCAAGCCTATCGCAACGCCTGCCTGGAAAACGTCCGGCTCTCGAAAGCCGTTTGGGAACGTCTCGACCGATTGGATGGGACAGAACAACATTCTTCTGCGRCATCGGCAGTGTCCTCGTTATCAACGTCTACGGTGGCCTCCTCGAATAATGGTGAATCGAGCATCGGCGTTGCCAGCCGAGAGGACGCATCCATACTGTCCTCTCTCAGGATTTTTTGYAATAGTTTTTTCGTCTGCAGCAGCTGCCKGGGTATKTTCCACAGAGATTATTACCAAGCTCTCGTGGTGCGGCTTCCCGATCACCAAAAGACCTTGGACCCATCCCCATCCTTCTCACCATRCATTTGCATTCATTGCTGGAATACATGGGCCCGCGAGCAACGGCAGGAAAGAAACCGCAAGGCTCTGGGACGTACTACAAACCTTCCGCAAAGAACAGCAGGCTCTACAAATCAATCGTTGGGGAACAGCGGGAAGCTTGAAGAGGATCGAAACGGTCGAGGTTGTGCACACACCAAGGTCTTACCTGCGATACAGGTTCCTTCGACTTCGGGTACCTCTCTCTGTAATAGCAACAAGAAAGAGTTTGTACCACAAAAGAAGACGACGACAATAACACCTCCGGCAAAGAGCCATGAGAATGCGAAAAATTCTAAATTCGAGAGCGCACGCTACAAGGCTAGGAAGAAAGTMATTCAGGACAGAATATCGATGGCAAGAAGTCAAAACTGCGCTTCCGCCAAAAATCATGAGCCTGTCCATGCCAAAGTGGAAATAAGCGTCACGAATATTACAACTCCGAGATCTCAGAAAGAGAGCACAGAARGAAATTGGAGCGAATTGGGCTCATCATTATCGTCYTCTCTTTGCCTCCATCCCGCATTGAAACAGTCGCTCAAGAAAAAGGCAACTCTTTCGATCCCATTRGAACCCACATGTCCTCTGAAACTAGCGGAACAGCCTCCCAGAAGAACAACAAGTAGGACCGATAGAATTTCTACGATGAAATTGAAGATGAACAGTTGCGCAGTCTTAGACAGCGATAACAGTCACTGCGCAGACACTGCAGCAGCAGAGAAACAAAGCAGCAAAAGTAGCTGGAGTCGATTTGGGTCGTCGGAATCCTCTATTTGCAGCAATTCCATTGCCGAATGTGAGTCGCTCCACTCTACTGCTTGTACACCATCGCCTCAAAAACAAAGAGTTCGGACAAACCCAATCCGGAAATCGACAGCCTCAGAAGTATCAGACCATGCGATTCATTCCATCGCGGAATCCCTTTGTAGCGACTCGTTCAGCATACCGGCTTCCGTTGATCTACACAAATCATTTGGCAAGCAGTTCCTCAAAAGCGCCATGAAGACAAAGACACTCCTAGATTCCATTGCCTCTGTGAGTGGTGGATGTTCACCCACCAAGGTTCAAGACTTTCCCTTCACAACAAAGCCGACGAAAGTAACTCCCTCTTGTAAGAAGAAAAACGTGCGTTTTCGGACGCCACTTGTCGAATACAGTCGAAAAGACCAAACAACGTTTATCGAGGACAGCTCCATACTCGATACATCAGCTGAAATAATGGAAGCAACGGAATACTTCTGTACGTGCGACACTTTGATGAGTGCATTCGAGAAAAATAAGTACCGAATGAAGTAAGAGAGCCGATCTTGGTGCGCCGAAGGGTATGGATATCGTTATTCCAGTACACCTGCAGTAGTTGTAAGAATAGAGAAAGAAAAGCAAAAAAAGTCACAGAAGTGAAGGTGTTCGACAATATTTAGCAATAAAAAATGTTTTTTTGTAGTGGACAATACAATTATATACACTGAATAAAGGAGACAATCGTCATTTGATAGAAAGAACATTGTTATGCTAATACCACGAAATGCCAAACCTCTTCGTTGTCGTTGAAGTTCTACTATTAAGTGTTATTTCACACAGCAGGCACGAGTTTAACCAACAGGATCAGTCGTTGGAAATGTGCTTATCCTCAAAATGAAGTGTCTTTATTCATAGATAATTGAGAATTTGTCAATAGTTGCGTAATTCCGTCACAATTGTTAATACGTTTTGCCTGCTGAACTCCATAATGAACTGAACAAAACGAATTTGGGCAACAAAAAGCATAGTATCCCTGATTTATCGCAAAAGTGACATCGGCAGGATTCGAACCTGCGCCAACGAAGACCAGAGCCTAAATCTGGCGCCTTAGACCACTCGGCCACGATGTCAGTTGGACACWAGCTCAGCGTGGTTTCGATCCACGGACCTTTGGGTTATGAGCCCAACACTCTACCTCTGAGCTACTGAGCTACGTCAACGGGTGGAGATTGCCGGAATCGAACCGGCGACCTTGTGCATGCTAAGCACACGCGCTGCCAACTGCGCCAAACCCCCTTGAATCATCAGCTACCACTGAGCGCTTGTATTTCTCCATTCCTCCATACGTCACACGGTCAGATGGAACGAAAAGAAATAATATCGATGCTGATGGGCTTCACCAGTATAGACGACGACGATGGTGAAAATACCAGCGTTCACTAGTCATCACATATGAAGATTTAATCTCCTTTCCAGTGCCGTTAACGACGACAATATCCTCCACAACAAGGATCAAGTGGACGGGCCAAAATAGGGCAACTTGCGCTCCATCGAAGGAGTGTGGTTCGTACAGGTAACTCGAGAAAGATGTATTCAACTTCCATCATAACCAATCCTTAACTGCGTTGCAGAAAGGTGATCGATCATCCCGCGTTGCTGCAATTTAATCAATCGTCCCGTGGGGTATTCGATACTAGGGAAATCGATGCGCTGGCATCGGCTTGTTAAAACACCGGACTCCGTAGTTTCGCCAATGTGAGCATGAATTGATAATGTAGAGGACATCGTATAGAAACAGAAAATGTGCAGTGAATCTGGCTGGTTCTCGCCTCACCTCTGACACGAACGCGAGCGGTATCTTGGACTGCCGTTCCTATTTGCAGTCGGAGYGATTAGAGTACCAGCCATGGACGTAACGATTACGAGTACTCAAAGTCATCGGTCGGACGAGTTATTAGATCCTAGAGAATTGAGAATGCCAACTCAAACCAGCGAATTTAGATCTGAAATGCACGTCTGGGACGATCATCACTGAAGATTTTACCACGTACCTTTGCTACTAGACCCGTTACTGGGGGAGCGCTGCTTAACAAACGGAATTAAGCATTTCAATGAGTCCTGTGAACTTGATACTTAACTCAATATTTACGGGGGGGGGGGGGGCTGAGAGAATTTGAAAAAATTTCTGGTAGCGCGGCATATATTATGGTAGCGTTTCTGGTAGCAATCTGGTAGGAATTACCATGGTAACTGGTAATTTTCCAGGATTGCTAGTACCATAAATTCTACCAGATTCTGGTAACTGTTCTGGTAACATTCGTGGTAAACACTTAATTAACATAAAAGTTGAGCATAAATAAAGGAATTTTTGCTCCTGGACTGTTGTTTTAAACTAACTAAAACTCTTCAAAAGGACTGCTTTGCAGGATTGCAGCAGCGACGGCGGCGGCAGCGGCAACAGCAGCACAACAACAATAAGCAGCATGGTATAGCCTAAGGAGATCCTTCTGGGGCTTTGACACCCTCATGATTCATGATGGCAAGAGCTGGCTCRTGCTCCTCTAAAAAAGGCAAGCGTCAGGAAGAACAAAGTCGGAATCCAGAACTGATATACAGGAAACTAGAGCTGTCAGCAGATTGCTTGCTACAACTACTATTGGATCCATTTGAGAACAGAAGGGGGGAAAGGCTGGGATCCTAATAACAAGCCTTCTTCTATTTACAACTACAGAAGCTCAGCTTACATCCAAAACTGCATCAAACAATCAAGTTGGCCCCATGGTGGACGTCAAGCTGGTGGTGTGGTTTTGCTTAATGTGAGATAAAACACCTTCTAGTACTGGGTCCTTTTCTACAGTTCAAGGTTTGTTTAATCAACAATGGAAGAGATCTATCAACTGATACCAAGATCATTAAGAAAGAGTGAGTGGAAGTGCTTGAAATGGAGCTATTTCCATGGTCGGTTGCTTTGAACTGGGGACGAGTTTATTTAGAATGAAAAGAACAGTTTAGCACACACACTGTATATCAGSGTGCTGGAGGGAAGATTAGGTAAAGACACTAGGACTCAGTATGATTTTGAACACAGAATCAAAAACCTTCTATTTTGAGCAAAATGGCAAGGGTACCTACCCCCTTGATTTGCTGTTTTCTACAGGGGTTTCTACACAGCTTTTGTACTACAGATGTCCAAGAAATAGATCAATTTTGCTCCTTGCTGATCAGCTAGGAGCAGCTGCTGGCTGGCTGGCTGGCTTTGATATCAATCCCAAATAGTATTTAAATATGCGTTGCAGTCGCGGGAACCTCTAAGAAACTATTCTTGCTACCAGAATTGCTACCAGAATTGCTACCAGAATTGCTACCATATTGCTACCATCTGGTAGCAATCTGGTAGCAATTATGGTAGCAATCTGGTAGCAATTCTAGTCGAAATCTGGTAGCTCTCATTCCTACCATAAAAAATTTTGGTATTAATTAGATTCTCTGATCCCCCTCCCCAAATTTTCAGTCCTCTTGTAAGCAATACGTGTCGTGAATGAATGCTGTGTTTAGAGCACCGTCAGCAAGTTACCATTCTTATTGCCAGAGTATTGCCTGGTAGCAAGCCCGGCGTGATAAAATAGTAAATGATGATCGTCCCTGGAACCATGTCAATTGGCGTGAACACAAATTGTTTCTACGGTGCAAAACCTAAGTTAGTGTCAGTAAGGTGGAAATTACTTCTCTGAAAAGAATGTACAAGCTACTAGTACTAGTTATTGTTGAAAGCACTGTGGCTGTTTGTTGTTTCTGAAATAAAAATGGAATTCATTGATTTGTGCATACACTGTTTATTGGTGGTAGTGGTGTTTTTTATAAGGGGGAGAGGCTTTCTTCTTACAAACACCAGGAGACCACTAGTAGTAGTACTAGTAGTACTAGTACTAGTAGTACTAGTACTAGTAGTAGTAGTA